GGGCTCAATCCTAAACCATAGTCCGTCCGTTTGGAGTTTCTCTGACATACTGGAGTAGGGCTTAGGGTTTAGGGCTTAGAGGGTTTAGAGGGTTTCGAGGGCTTAGAGGGTAGAGAGGGTTTAAGAGGGTTTAGGGGGTTTAGAGGGTTTAGAGGGTTTAGATTAGGTTTCGGCCCCGGCTCAGGGCCTGAAAATGTGGACCTTCCCCAAACCCTCAACCCTACATCCTAAACCCTAAACCCTGAACCCTACACCCTAAACCCTAAACCCTAAACCTGTCTAGGAGGAGCTCTGGTATGGTCAGGCCTGGTAGGGCTCGGGATGGAACAATCTAGCTTTTCAGGGAAGCTCTGTGGGCGACCCATAGACTGGGGATTCGGGTTTAGGGTTTAGGATTTAGGATTGGGGTTTAGGGTTTAGGGTTTAAAGGTCATTGGTCCGCTTATCCTTCGAAGCTAGGTAGTCAGCCAAGCAAGCCGCGCAAGAATCCAACACCTGAAGCAGCAAAGCCCCGGCCCAGCGCGCTTGGCCCACCACAACACAGGGGTTTAGGGTTTCGGGTTTCGGGTTTCGGGCTTGGGGCTTGGGGCTTGGGGCTTGGGGCTTGGGGCTTGGGGTTCGGTGTTTGGGTAGGGTGGGTTTGGGACAGAAACCCTGGTAAATAAACCATGCCCATCTCCTGCAGCAGATGCTGCTTCGTGTGCACCAGCCACACGTGAAGAGCCAGCCAGTAGGTCTGCAAGAGTTTAGGGTTTAGGGTTTCGGGTTTCGGGTTTAGGGTTTAGGGTTTAGGGTTCAGGGTCGATTCAGGGATAGAAAGAAGGGACCCTTGATCTTCTTCCCCTTTCTGACCCCTGTTCTTGTCCCTACATACCCAAGTAGCCCCCAACATTGCCCTTATAGCGGTCCCCTCCTTTAGTCCCTTGAGTGGAGGGTTTCAATTCTTAGGGTTTAGGGTTTGGCGTTTAGGGTTTAGGGTTTAGGGTTTAGGGTTTAGGGTTTAGGGTTTAGGGTTTAGGGTTTAGGGTTTAGGGTTTAGGGTTTAGGGTTTAGGGTTTAGGGTTCAAGTATCACAAAGCATGCCAAAGCCCAATATCCCAGCCTGCAGGCAACTAGCAAACCGCCTTTGCGCAACACCTCCCCTGGGAGAGGAGGAACTACGCCCCTCCCTAAGCAACCCGACACCGCCAAACCCTAAACCCCAAACCCCAAACCCTAAACCCTAAACCCTAAACCCTAAACCCTAAACCCTAAACCCTAAACCCTAAACCCTAAACCCTAAACCCTAAACCCTAAACCCTAAACCCTAAACCCTAAACCCTAAACCCAAACTCTAACATCTCAGCCAACGCCCTAGACTCGCCTGCTGCAGCATCCGGAAATATGCGCCCTCCCGGGGAACGGCTTCAGTGTTGTGAAGCGGCCTGGGCAGTGGGGGGCGGTTCAGGGCTTAGGGGCGGTTCAGGGCTTAGGGGTGTTCAGGGTTCAGGGGTTTAGGGTTTCGGGTTTAGGGTTTAGGGTTTAAGGGTGTTCAGGGTTTAGGGCGTAGCAGCCTGGGACTTTTTGGACACACATTCGCATCCTGACTAGGTCTTGCGGCTTTAGGACCCTGAACCCTAAACCCTAAACCCTAAACCCCCTAAACCCTTCTAAACCCTAAACCCTAAACCCTAAACCCCCTACACCCCCTAAACCCTCTAAACCCTCTAAACCCTACATTCTTGGCGGCTTGGGGGCTTCTGAGGCAGCTTTGCGGATTAGGGTCGAGTGTTTAGGCTTATGGCTTAAGGTTAGGGTTTACTGTAGGGTTTGGTTAGGATAAACCGTAGAACACGACGAAACGCAGCGAGGACAGAAAGCGAAGAACGAAACCGTAAGAAGGTCACGAAGAAGAGCCACCAAGAAAGATATGCATCAAAAGCTTGTGAACTCCAAGCATGCCCGAGGAAAAAGGCGACCCTTAAAACATAAACTCGGAACCACACCCCTCTCCCCCAGCCTCAAAGGCTAAACCCCAAAACCCAGACCCTAAACCCGAACCCCTAAACACCACATCCATAAGCCAACCCCGAAACTCCCAAAGCCAAATCCTCGAACCCTACACCCCCCCCTGAGCCCTAAACCCCAAACCCCAAACCCTAAACCCTAAACCCCGAACCCCCAAAACCAAAGCTCAGCTCGCTCCACTTGGAGGTTGGCAGGATCTCCACAGGAGTCCTAAACCCTAAACCCTAAACCCTAAACCCGAAACCCGAAACCCTAAACCCCAAGCCCATGGTTGGATGTCCCCGAGGACGTGTCCAAGCCGGAGCAGCATTGGCTACTCCACATGGAGGCTCATGAAACCCTAAACCCTAAACCCCAAACCCTAAACCCTAAACCCTAAACCCTAAACCCTAAACCGCAATTCGAGCTGTACTTATCAGCCTCCTGAGTCCTCTGAGTCGGTTATCAAGTTACCAGTAGACTGATAAATTTGGGCTCAGTCTACCCTAAACCCTAAACCCTAAACCCTAAACCCTAAATCCTAAACCCTAAACCCTAAACACCATTTTGGGTTCTGAGTACTCATGTACCTCCAAGCAGGGCATGGCCCAAACACATCTGCCCGCTCAACAAGGTCAGCAAAAGGGTTTAGGGTTTAGGGTTTAGTGTTTGGAGTGGGCTCGATCGAGCCAAGCATACAAGTAGCTCTCGGAAATAGGGGTTTGCGATATTAGGGGTACCTTATTCGGGTCCTGATTATAAGGAGATCCTACTATATTGGGCTATATTGGGGGGGGGGGTTCTATTTTCGAGGGTCCCCTGTTTTCGTAAACCTTAGATTAGCAGCTCCTAGTGTGCCTCGTCTCTTCCAAAAACACTCCAAACACCCAAAACACCCCCAAAACACCCAAAATTCAACCCCAAAACACCCTAAAACACCCCAAAAAACACACCCCAAACCCCCTAAAACACCCCAAGCACCCCCAACTACCACAACGTTGACTTCCGGGCAAGGTGCTTCTCCAACCTGAGGAGCAGCTCTGGGTCGTTTAGGGTCTGGGGTCTAGTCAGGGGTTAGGGTTTAGGGTTTAGGGTTTAGGGTTTAGGGTTTAGGGTTTAGGGTTTAGGGTTTAGGGTTTAGGGTTTAGGGTTTAGGGTTTAGGGTTTAGGGTTTAGGGTTTAGGGTTTAGGGTTTGTGCAGGAAATAAGCTTCGATGTTTAGCCGCTTGGGTGCACAAGTGCGAGGGGAGTTCACGACTCGGCTTCGGAGTGTGCTGGAGGCCTTTGGAGACTGGGGCCTTGTATCGGCCACGTCAGTTTTTCTTTTCCCACCCGCGCCCGTAAAGGGCGGCTCCCACCCTTAGCCAGCTCCGCCTTTTAGGGTTTAGTTTCCTAAACTCCTTTTAGGAAACTATCTTGTATTTCGGCTTCTCTCTTTCTTTCATATCGAAAGGAAACACGGCCCAAATGGGGGGGGGGGGGGGGCAGCCCCCAAAAACACCCCGGCGTCACGGGGGGTCACGGGGTGTCACGGGGGGGGGGGGGGCCCGTGACACTTGTCACGGGGGGGGGCCCCGTGACCCCCTGTGACGCTGTCACGGGGGGGGCCCCCGTGACCCCCCGCGACCCCCCGTGACAGGGGATTTTTCCGGTATTACCCTTAGAGCCCAGGGAGCAAAATCAGGAATAACCTAGGCATTTGCTTGTATTTTTAAAAACGCGAAAAACGGAAATTCACTCCCCGAGCACGTTTTTGGAGATACTTTCGTGCCGTTTTCACGTTTTCGTGCTTCGCCCGAATTTTGTCTTGTTTTCCCTAGGCAAAACGCATGACTTTTTCGAGCTCGGCCCTTTTCGTGTCGTTTGGCGTCAAAAACGCCCCGTGGGTACGGCGTATGGCAATCCTCTCCGTCGCGTTTTTGTATGTTTTTTACAAAGCAATATTAATTGGTGGCGCAGTCCCACCTCACACCGTAACACGTCTAGGTATCGACCCCCTGCTTCTATGGCCGAGGTTCTTCACCGAGAAGGACACGAGAACTGACGAGAACATGATGAGGGCAAGTATATAGCAAGGGTAAGTGTGTAGCAGACGTACACAGTAGCTAATCTTGGGCAGTGCAGCCACGGCGCGGGCGCGTTGTCCCCGCGGCAAAGAAACCAGGACCGCAACAAGACGACAAAAGCAAAAAAGAACGCACGCTGACAGTGCGCAGCAGCACGTGATTCGTCTCGTTTTAGTTTCCTCATCACAATTCGTGGCCTTCGCACAGTTAGGTTGTTTTGGTCCATGGGTAGGAAAGAAGGTCCATGTGGCATCTCCAGGTGGCATGAGTGATGTTACGCGCGCATCGTCGCAGCTTTCAGGCTCGCAGACCCTGCAGCGTGTAAGTGACTTGATTAGGTTCTCGACCCGCGCCGCCGCCGCATCTTGGAAGCAATATATTCGTACTCTCAGCAGCTTGCCTGCCTGAACGCGATGTTTCTATGAGGATTCTAGGCGAACCGGATATGAGTCCGATTGCTAGCAGGTCTCGAAAAAGAATGACGGAGGACGAGACAATGCCGGAGCCTAAGACGAATGGTAGGCAGACTGCAAAGTGCATCTGGTCCTGCTCAGGAGCGATGTCTGCCGGGCTGAAGACGAGTGGCGGCCCGAACTCGTGCGCGACCCAGATGTGATCGATCACGCCCGTGCACCCCCACTCAGGAGTGATGTTCAAATGTTCGATGCGCAAGAGGACCTTCGGACTTTCGCAGTACTTAGAAGGCGGTCAGAAGTGATTTAGTTTGATACGAGCCGGAAGGATGAAGAACATACCGACTCCGACTCCGGACTGTCTGCTTGGCGTGGATCCCGGCATGCTGACTACACCAACAGTTCTCGGACCTCGCCAACACGGCTGACAGGTAGATGGCAAGTCGCCTAAGCACATGAGCTAAACGCGTGTGTCGCACTGAGGGGCGTCGAGGACATCTACGCGCGCGCGCCCAGACCTTAAACAGCCGGATCGATGGTCCGTTCGTGCAGGGAAACAAACTCAATGACATAAACGCCAATACTACGGTGAGTCTGTACAGTTGAGGCAACTGTCAAGCCGGTCTCGGACACCAGTTCCTCGCGCGCAGCGTGCACAGATCGACCCGGGCCAGCTGGAGATCACGGGACGCCTCTTCCACGAGTCGAGCGAGCAGCCGGATCGGTTCCACGAGCACCTTCGGGAGATCGAGGAGCTGCTGGGCACGGATGAACTCGTAAATCAACTTCAATTGCTGGCCGACTACACCTGCCACGAGGTCGAGGAGCTGCTCGCCCTGGAGGCGGAGGAGCCGGAGGCGGAAGTGACATCGCTGCGGCCCTCACCACGCTGGGCATTGACCGTCATGCCGAAACAGTGCCAGAAGATTCTGCACCGCGAGAAGGTGTGGGAAATCAGGGGGCAGAGCTGCAAGAAACACTTGCGCGAGAGGATCTGCATAGCGGAGTCTGGGTCAGGGATGCTGGTCGGCGAGATGACCATCCGGGAGAGCATCAAGGTGACTCGAGAGGAGCTGGAAGCCAACGTCGACCTGCATCAGATCGAAGATCTCTCCATCCTGCGCTACAGCAACATCTATGCCTGGGTGATCGAGGATGTGGTCGCGTACCCGGAGCGGGTACCCCACAAGGGCTCGCGTGCCGCATGGGTGGATCTCCAGCCTGCTCCTCGTCGTGCGGAGTGCTGCAACGAAAGTTGCCGTTTCGGCCTCAAGAAACACAGCCTTCGCGGCGCCCCGTACACCAGGCCGAAGGACGGAGTCAGCTTCGAACATTGCTTTTTCTGCTCCGCAGAGGCCTTCGAGTCTGCGCTCAAGGAACAAAGTGGACAACAGGTAAAAAGATACCTGACTCGGCAAGCCAAAGCAGATCCCGAACGTCACCTAGAAGCCCTGCAACGCATCCGCGACATGCGAGGAGAGAACATGGTCAAGCGGTTCGCGTCGCAGGGCGCCGGACGAAAAGCCAAGCGAGAGTCCAAGCCGATCGCATCCTGGAACGACTCGTTGGCATTTCGCCAACCTGCACTGCGAGAATCCGATGCAGCCCACGAAGCTTTTCGGGTGAAGCAGCAAAAACAAGATGCTCGCTTGCAGAAAAAATTTCCGTCCATCTACCAGAAGGACGCCCGAGAGGAGGCCTGTTGGGCACCTGCACGTTCTCTGGCCTTTCGAAAATGGTGCCTGGAAAATTCCTGGCGCATGTGCTCCTGCTGTGGGCGCATGGTACCGCAAGTCTTTCGTGCGAGTCATGCAACTGGCACCGCCACCAAGTCATCCGAGCTGCCAGCATGCGGGCACTGCAAGTCGGGTGGCGCCAAAGGCTATTGGGCTCCGTCACCTGAAGACGTCCCGCGCCCGCTGCGAAAACTATCGTCGCAGGTGATTGAAGCCCTACGCCCATTCGACATTCACACCGGGGGAGTCTTCCGGCCACCGAATGGGTATCTCGTGCACAACGACATGATGACTTTCTCTTTCAAGAAATCATCCGTGGAAGAGAACCTCGCCAAGCTATCGCGAAGGCAGCGCAAGCGTGGAGAGAAGGCGCTGGAGTACCTGCTACAGTCGAGCGCCGGTTCGCATTACCATCGCTTCTGGCAGCTCCACCATCGTTTCCTTCGCAAAAGAGCCAGGGCCATCGCTCGCGGGGAGATCTGGGCCGGCGCGTCGGTGAAGCGCTTGCCTACCAACTTCATCGAGACCGTCGGACTGGAGTGTGCGCTGTGGCCCCACCCTATACTGGACCGTAGACATGACGGAAACCTACGTGAGGTCACAGGATGCACGAAGACTGCATCGCCACCGCAGAGTGCGAGCGGAGGAGGATGAAGAAGACCTGGACGCAGACGAAGCAGCGGAAGGAGGGGCATCCAGGCAAAGCGCGAAGGCGAGCTTTCTAGCCAAAGCGCATTCGGCGCTGATCGGCTACAACTCGGACGCACAGCTGCTTCAGTTCGTGTACGATCTCTGGCTGTTCACCACCATTGGCGGAGCCAAGAACAGTGCTAATGCTGGCATCCGAGAAGCCTTGGCGGCGAAGCCCTATTCACCGGAGCTCTGGCGCACCTACCACGCTGCCTTGATCGACCTTCAGAAGCAACTGGGCTGGCCCAGCCTCTTCATCACCGTCGCGCCGTATGAGTGGTCCTTCCCGTACCACCAGTGGCTGGAAGACGAACTTGCAAAGAGCTTGCGCTCGAGATTGGAAATGCCGGTGTCCGAGACCTTGCATCTGGCGCACGTGCTGACTCAGGCAGTCAAGGGCCTTCTTACGGGCAGCAACGAAGGACTGCAACCGAAGAGGGAGCACGTGTTTTCATCCGCAGAAGGCCCTGGCAAAGTGCGGCACTGGGTTGCGAGACTGGAGTTCCAGGACGGCAAGCGCAAGCGCCGTGTCTTCCGAGACGGCCAGTTCTACCACGGGCGAGGCACAATCCACGTGCACATCCTCTTGTGGCTTGAAGATATGCAGTGCATGGATTTGGCCTCCAAGATCCGCGCCGACGTGCCCGCAGAGGAGGAGGAAGAGATGCGCGACCTCGTCGTTGGGTCCCAGTTGGACTACATGTCGAGCGGCTGGCCCGTGCGCGAAGAACCGACCAAGGTGAGCGAGGCCGGGCAGCGGCTCCAGCTGCATCATCCGCAGGACGCCTTCGAGCAACGATGCCGCGCATACCTTCCAGACGTGTTGGCCGCTCTTCGCTGCCACGTGGACGTCCTGGCGTCGGATGGTCGAGCCATGGTGCTCAAGTACTGTGCAAGCCGCCCGACCGAACACTAGCCATATAATAAGAAGCTATGTATATAAATGCAGTCATTGATTGGGTTGGAATCCTGCATCCCGGGCTACCTGCCAAAATTTAGCAGCTCCTTCGCTCAAGAGCTGTTAAACAACCGGGCCACGGACTTCTCGCTCGCAAGACGTGTTCTGGCAGATTACCACCCGCTGCAGCCAGAAATGATCATGCAGCTTGCGGCGCAGCAGCACCCACAATTCGTCTGTCCAGGCACCGTGCGCAAGTTCGTCGTTCCGGTGCCGTGGGAGAAAGACCCGCCAAAGATCGTGCAGAGTTACATGACGAGCACCTGGAGGCGCGACGACATGACACTCCTCGAGTTCTTGCGAAAGGCTGGCTCCAGCGGGCAGATCGCGCAGAAGTATCGCCGCATGCACAGTGCCTGCAGAATCCGAACGCCTCTGAAAGATTGGATCAACGAACATCGCTCGGACGGCAAGACCCTCGTGGCCAACGTGATGTATGGGCACACCAACGATCGCCACTACGGCCAATGGCTATTGCTGAACGTGCCCTTCCGCAATGTCGACGAACTCTGGCACCCACAGGCGGACAAACTCCCAGAAAGCCTACAGTATCTGGGACTCTGCGTCCTGCATCGGCGTCGCTTCTGGCGCAATCCGGAAATGATACGCTCCGAACTGGAGAAAGAGGCTCGATCCGATCTCTACATTCAAAACACCATGGCCATGCTGAGTGCGAGGATCGAGCTGATCGATGCCTATCTCTCCGGAGAGATGTCCGTGGAAAGGAACCCGGCCCCGGCTTTGCACGGCACGGCTCGTATCGCTGGCGAGGAACTTCGCCTGGCACCAGAGCAGGCGCTCGTGGTGGACACTCTGCATGGCAGAGTGAGGCAGGCCCTACTGGCAAAGTGGCCCGAAGATCGCAATGTGGAAACTTGGGGCGACTGGATGGAGCAAGATGCGGCGCAGAACGTGGTGACGGTGGTGCTAGGGCCTGCCGGCAGCGGAAAGAGCACGGCAGTGGAAATTGCACTGGACCGAGCGGTGCAGCAAGGTGCGCATGTTGGAGTGGCCTGTCCGACCGGAATGCTAGCCACTCGGTACAGGGCGCGCCATCCGGATCTCGACATCGACACAGTGCATGGTATGTTCGCGCTGCACAAAGAGGAGCTCTCGACGGCCGACATGATGAAGATCTATGACATGGTCATCATCGACGAAGTCGGCCAACTCCCAACGTGGATCTTTGACAGGCTGCTCCGACTGTGGGACGCTGCCGATCGTCGACCGGCCCTCGTGTTCGTCGGAGATTTCTGCCAGCTGATGGGCGCGGACGGCACCACGGCCAGGGAGAGTGGCCGATGGTCAGAAATGCACATCATGAATCTGCACGAGATGCGCCGCTGCAAGTGCGACCGACTCAAGTGGAAGCTGCAGCTGCTGCGCAGCGCCACACCTAGCGGCGCTCAACTCAAGCAGATCCTCAGAGGGCACCGTGCAAATCTACGCGGCAAAGCCGGTGCCAACCGACTCGATGCCGAACAAATTAGTGCTATTCTGAAGGAAACACCGAAAACGACTTTCGTGACCATCAGTCGTAAGGGCTCCGCTCGGATCAATCAACTCGCCCTGCGAGCACTCTTCCGGGATGATTCCATCTTGGATTGGATACCGTGCGATCCTCAAGAGAACTTCAACAACTTCTGGAGAGAGACGCAGGTGGATGCAGAGCCCTTTTGGATGCCGGTGCACCAGTCCATGCGGGTTACGATCACCAGGAACGCCGACAAGGAGCACGGCTTCGTCAACGGGATGGGCGCCACTGTTCAGTGCCTCAGGCGCAGCGGTGTGCAGGTCCTAACCGACCACGGCCAAGTTCTCCTCGTTCACCCGATCACGCACGAGACTTGGCTGCCGGATGGCTCCTGCCGAAGAACGACAGCCTTCCCGTTGCGTTTGGGGTACAGTACCACACTCCACAAGATCCAAGGTGCCACTTTGTCTCACATAACGATTTGGATGGATGTACCATTCATCCGTGCAGCTTTATACGTCGCCCTCTCGCGAGTGCAACATGATCGCGATTGGCGTTTTGTAGGCTCCGTTCAAAGGAAGCATTGCTTGCCGTCGCTTCTCTGAACGGCATCGTTGAGATAATGCAGATATCATCTATATAACCCGCGCACTGGCGGGCTACGGAGCGGACCCAGTCCCCGTAGCAACGCGATAGCAGGACAACAGACGGAGCCGGACTAAGCCTGGATACAAAAGATGACGCATGCGTGCAGCATCGGCGTGCAAATTTTTGTTGACCAAGAGTAGTCAGCCGCCCAGAACCCATGGACCCACATTCACGATAATTTCCGCCTAGCCAGTGTATCCTGCAGCCTGGCACTCATGCATCCACCTCAGCGCAGGCAACAACACGATAGAAGCAGCTTGCTCAAATCAGAATTGCCATGTACGAGTATCAGGGAAGTACAAGCCAGAAGTAAACAACGAAGTCGGATCTGCAGTAAATTAGAAGCGCATCAGCCAATCTGCTTGTGCCGCAGAAGCACATGTAGATTCCACGATCCTGCCTGGCGCGGGCCCAAGTATCCTGACGTCGTCCATTCCTAAACCTTATTCGTTGCAATAACACCTATTCGTTTAGGATCGGCGAGCCCTTCGTTTAGGATTTAAGCCTGAAATCCTATTCCTAAACCCAATTCGTTTAGGATTTAGGCGCTAAACCCTATTCCTAAACCTTATTCTTTAGGATTTAGGCCCTAAACCCCATTCGCTGAACCCTATTCTTTAGCATTTAGGCCTTAAACCCTATTCCTAACCCTATTCTTTAACATTTGGGCCCTAAACCCTATTCGCTAAGCCTTATTCTTTAGGATTTACCCCTAAACCCTCGTCGCGTTTAGGATTTAGCCCTAAACCCTCGTCGCTAAACCCTCGTCGTTTAGGATTTAGACCCTAATTTTCCAGATTTTGGGCTCTAAACCCTATTCGTTTAGGATTTAGGCCCGAAACCCTATTCCTAAACCCTATTCGTTTAGGATTTAGGCCTGAAACCCTATTCGTTCAGGATTTAGCGGGCCTGGGAATAGGATTTAGCGAATAGGATTTGGCCTTCGTGGGGGGTACCCCAGGATTCGGGACAAAGTGGCCGATTCCAGCTTTAATTATGATAAAATTTAAATAGCAGAAATGACCCCCTCATTTTCCAGGTTATGGCTCTAAACCCTATTCGTTTAGGATTTAGGCCCGAAACCCTAGTCGCTAAACCCTATTCGTTTAGGATTTAGGCCCTAAACCCTATTCGTTTAGGATTTAAGCCCTAAATCCTAGTCGCTAAACCCTATTCGTTTAGGATTTAGGCCCTAAACCCTATTCGTTTAGGATTTAGGCCCTAAACCCTAGTCGCTAAACCCTATTCGTTTAGGATTTAGGCCCGAAACCCTATTCGTTTAGGATTTAGGCGCTAAACCCTAGTCGCTAAACCCTCTTCGTTTAGGATTTAGGCCCGAAACCCTGTTCGTTTAGGATTTAGGCCCTAAATCCTAGTCGCTAAACCCTATTCGTTTAGGATTTAGGCCCTAAACCCTATTCGTTTAGGATTTAGGCCCTAAATCCTAGTCGCTAAACCCTATTCGTTTAGGATTTAGGCCCTAAACCCTCTTCGTTTAGGATTTAGCGGGCCTAGGAATACGAATAGGATTTGGGCCTCCGTGGGGGGTACCCCAGGATTCGGGAAAAAGTGGCCGATTCCAGCTTTAATTATGATAAAATTTAAATAGCAGAAATGACCCCCTCATTTTCCAGGTTATGGGCTCTAAACCCTAGTCGTTTAGGATTTAGGCCCTAAACCCTAGTCGCTGAACCCTATTCGTTTAGGATTTAGGCCCTAAACCCTATTCGTTTAGGATTTAGGCCCTAAACCCTAGTCGCTAAACCCTAATCGTTTAGGACCTAAACTCTATTCGTTTAGGATTTAGGCCCTAAACCCTAGTCGCTAAACCCTATTCGTTTAGGATTTAGGCCCTAAACCCTATTCGTTTAGGATTTAGGCCCTAAACCCTAGTCGCTAAACCCTATTCGTTTAGGATTTAGGCCCGAAACCCTGTTCGTTTAGGATTTAGGCCCTAAATCCTAGTCGCTAAACCCTATTCGTTTAGGATTTAGGCCCTAAACCCTATTCGTTTAGGATTTAGGCCCTAAACCCTAGTCGCTAAACCCTATTCGTTTAGGATTTAGACCCTAAACCCTATTCGTTTAGGATTTAGCGGGCCTGGGAATAGGATTTAGCGAATAGGATTTGGGCCTCCGTGGGGGGTACCCCAGGATTCGGGAAAAAGTGGCCGATTCCAGCTTTAATTATGATAAAATTTAAATAGCAGAAAGGACCCCCTCATTTTCCAGGTTTTGGGCTCTAAACCCGATTCGTTTAGGATTTAGGCCCTAAACCCTAGTCGCTAAACCCTATTCGTTTAGGATTTAGGCCCGAAACCCTATTCGTTTAGGATTTAGCGGGCCTGGGAATAGGATTTAGCGAATAGGATTTGGGCCTCCGTGGGGGGTACCCTAGGATTCGGGAAAAAGTGGCCGATTCCAGCTTTAATTATGATAGAATTTAAATAGCAGAAATGACCCCCTCATTTTCCAGGTTATGGGCTCTAAACCCTATTCGTTTAGGATTTAAGCCCTAAACCCTAGTCGCTAAACCCTATTCGTTTAGGATTTAGGCCCTAAACCCTATTCGTTTAGGATTTAGGCCCTAAACCCTAGTCGCTAAACCCTATTCGTTTAGGATTTAGGCCCTAAACCCTATTCGTTTAGGATTTAGGCCCTAAACCCTAGTCGCTAAACCCTATTCGTTTAGGATTTAGGCCCTAAACTCTATTCTTTAGGATTTAGGCCCTAAACCCTATTCCTAAACCTTATTCTTTAGGATTTAGGCCCTAAACCCTATTCGCTAAACCCTATTCTTTAGGATTTAGGCCCTAAACCCTATTCCTAAACCCTAT